CCTGCGATTCGAAACCAACCCTGGCTTCGAACATCTACTCATCGCTCGCCCATATCACCGTCCGCTCGTTTTATTTCGGTCAGCAAGATTAGGGAAATCACGATCCGGTGATCAAAGGAATTTCATCTACCATTGGGCGTTCGATTCAACCTGGAGCTTCACGTCCGACCGCACCTGGTGTTGCTCACACCCCCCTACCACCATGGCAGACAATAGACACCACCACCATCACCACGCCCGCCGGGCGCAAACCTCCGACAACTTCGATGCTTCCGACCTCACTCGATCCTTCGAGCAGCTGATGCGCAACAAGCGGTTCAATCGTCTTCAAGAACAGTCCAGAAGCCGATCTCGCACGCAATCCCCCTCGCCTGGCCCCCAGCTGTCCTCTCCTGGACCCTTCCCTCCTCCCCCCTCGCGAGCACCACCACCACCCCCGACCGCAGGCCTTCAATCTCCCCAGCTCCCGCCGCAGCCATCAACTCCTCGGTCTTCGCTCCTGCGAGGTCTCCCTATCGTTCCGTCGCCGCCCCAGGACCCTGCTGCCCTGAAGTTCCGGAACCTCCTACACGTCTTGTCGGTCACGCCAACCAAGTATGAGAATCCGGGTCTCCTCGACGAGGCTCTGGCTCTCATTCCTCTGGATCGACTGTACTCGGAGGCAGAGGAAGAAAGCCAAATCATGCAAGCCCAGGCCGCGAGTGTTAGAGGGAAACCTGAATGGGGCTACCAAGATTGCGTCATCAGGGCTTTGTTGAGGTTTGTCACTCTTAGCTTATCATTATTCTTCTTATGTGCCAACTAACCAACCACCTCTTATTAGATGGTTCAAGCGATCTTTCTTCCAATTTGTCAACAACCCAGCCTGCTCACAATGTCTCACGCCCACCATTGCCCAGGGTATGACACCGCCCACACCGGATGAGACTGCTCGTGGCGCTACACGAGTAGAGCTCTACCGATGCGCCGAGGTTACATGCGGAGGCTACGAGCGATTCCCCCGCTATTCCGACGTTTGGCAATTGCTGCAGACCCGACGAGGACGTGTTGGTGAATGGGCAAACTGTTTCAGCATGTTCTGCCGAGCGCTCGGAGGTCGTGTACGATGGGTATGGAACTCGGAAGACTACGTGTGGACGGAAGTGTACTCTGAGCACCAGAGACGCTGGGTGCACGTTGACGCGTGTGAAGAGGCCTGGGATCAGCCTCGTCTCTATGCTGAAGGTTGGTTTCTCTTTCTGTGCAACTCGTCTGCAGTGGAACTACGTTAGCTAACCCGATTGTTTGCTATAGGCTGGGGTCGAAAGATGTCGTACTGTGTCGCCTTCTCGATTGAAGGCGCTACCGATGTCACTCGCCGCTATGTTCGAAGCCCAACCAAACACGGCGCGCCGCGAAACCGTACCACGGAGGAGGTGGTTCACTGGGTCATCCTCGAAATCCGAAAGAAGCGCCGTGACAACTCGTCCAAGACGGACCAGAGACGATTGATCAAGGAAGACGAGCGCGAAGAGAGAGAACTGCGCGCCTATACAGCATCTGCCCTCGCTGCCGAGCTCAACAACTTGCTCCCCCGGAACCACGCCCGTGGACGATTAGACGAACAGAAGACGCCCACGCGGCAAGACGCCGATTGGGTCAGCGCGAGACAGGCTGGACAACATGGACCCGACCGATCACAGGATGGGCGGTAACACGATGTGTAACGACTCGAGTCTCTTTGCTTCGGTTCTACGCATTTGATTGCTAGGGCAAAAATCCAACCAACCCTGCCACCGATCTCCTGCGAAAACAAAAATCCCAATGACGACCACGACGACGTTACATAGACAAACCTGACTGAGACCGCTTCGACGCATGATCTACTCAGATGTGCGTGCTGCATTTAGGGGATCAGTCTGTTAATCACGGATTCATTCGATCGGCACCACGCGCTTTCATGAAACACAACCAGATTTGTGTCCCTGTCACGGCGCGTCGACTACCAGGATGAAATCTGACTTAACATCGTCAGCGCGCCCAGCGGGACGTCAGCGCCCCCTTTCCGACCGGGGAAGGGGGTTCCTTATACTCATAAACACCCCAGTGATAGGACAGAAGTGTCCGACAAGCACTGGGCACATTGAGCTCCGACGAACAAAGTTTGTCGATCCTATTTTGAAGAAAACGATCTCACTGGTCGAAACTATCAACACCAACACTATATACCATCCATCTTTCTTTTTGGATTTTCCTTATATTATCTCGACACTCTTTGGCCAAAGACACATCTTATTACTTTCGCTACTTTTCTTTTTCTTTTCCTTATTCTCATTCATATACCCCGTTGGGTCATTACGGACATCTTGGAGACGAAATCTTAATTGGTTATTCAAATTTGGAGACGTTGGCAGGGTTGGAAGGTTTCATGGATATTCTTTAATTTTTTCTAATCTTCTACTTTTTCTTAACCTTTTGATTAAATTTTCATTTTTCTTTTTGGTGTGAACATCTGCACAAGCCATGTTGTATGAGACACGGAAGTTTCGGTCGGCGCGGCATCTTCATTTTTTTCCTTTTTTGTTCTGACTCCTGGCGATCTCAGATACTGTCAAATAACCCAGTTTCATCTGACCAACGAAAATCAATCATGAGTTGGAATCTCTTGGATACACGTTCTTCTTGGTTATTGGGCAGGATGACGCATGCATTGCCCTTGTAAGCCTGGCTACTACTTACATACACGACGTGAATACTACATTGACGAGGGTAGTATTTCGGCATTCCAGGGCCTGAATACCTTACCACCTCAGCCTGGATGATCAGCCCGAGTGTTTGCACTTTTGAACATTTGATCGACATGACTTCGAATGCATCATCGTGACGCCTTTTTTGCCTTGCCGGCCTTCCACCTGGCCAGACCACCCTGTTTCCTCCAGCTTCTCACGCGATGCCGTCCTGCGCCCTCCAGACGCCCTCGTCGGATTGATTAATATCGATTGATTGATTGATACTAGTCCTCCGTATCGGCTCCGAATCGAACCAGCCCACATCCACCCCCTCCTCTCACCTGACCACGGCCCCAAGCCCAAAGCAGTACGGGCGCTGCAGATCCCGCCGACTTTTCTATAAATACACTTCCTTTACCCGACGGGGCTTAGTGAGTCCGCCCATCGCGGGGAAAGAAGTGCCCCCGGCGGCCAATCGACGCAGGCGCCTGAGTGCTGAAGGGACCCTCGGAGTCGCAGGTTTCGAACGCTAGGAAAACCGTCAGACAAGGCCAGATTGGTTCCGGGACCACTTTGCGCCTATCGCAATTAAACGAAGGAGGAGAAGGGGAGGAGAGACCCTGAGTCCAGTCCCGTCCGGGTCTGGTCGGTCTGGTCTGGTCTGGTCTGGTCTAGCTCGGTCCCTGAATTTGTTGACAACTTAACTATTAGGCTGTTTTTTGCTGGTGAGTTTTGATTGTTGACTGTTGGTGGTGACTGATCTTCGCTGTGAGCCGTGGTTGTCTCAACGGCACCGAACCTTTTCAAACATCAGATAAATCTACGGAGTACAGCAAGTTAATATCCCCCCCGACTACGTACGGAGTATTTTGTAGTCTATCTCCAACTCTATGAAGCACAGAATCCCCTGTAGCCTACTCCGTGTTCTGTGTACTCCGTTTCCGTGTCAGTCAGTGGATAGTGGATCCCAGATGGAGGTGGATCGAGCGCAGTCTCTCCTGGGCTCCTGCCTGGCTGGCCGGCCGTGGTCGTACGGACGACCCGTGGCTCTAAAACCAACACTTCCACACTTTTCTGATCATCATGTCTCAGATTGTATGGTTCGTGGAAATTGCGATTGCGTTCCTGACCCTGAGTTTGAGCTGAGTTTGAGTTAAAACAAAGAAATTCTTGTTCTTATTTTCTTGTTCTTATTTTCTTGTTCTAATTTTCTTGTTCTAATTTATTTTTTGGATGTTGGTTGGTTCTTTTCCTTGGTTTGGACGAATTAGAATAGCTCTCTGCCTACACTGTATGTATTTAGAGGGCAGAGTTAGTTGGTTAATTAAAGTCTAGTCAGATTGATTGATCACCTAACCAAGGAAAGGTTGAAAATCACTAGGTCGGAGTATCGGATACCCCTACCCTGTCTGACTCTGTTAATCACGCGCTGAACCGCATAGTCGCGTACCAATTGACTAGTACGTGTATGTGTACTTACTACTGCGCAGCTAAAGTAGGTACATAGGGGCCGTCGGGTGGGATATGATTATTATCCATTTGTCCGGATCGCTGCCTACCTACAGAGTAGTTAATTAAGGGCCATTACACTGTAGTTGATGGTTTGTATTGATGTCAGTTGGGAGTATGGAGTAGTTACTCTGCACAACTTCCATACCGAGGTCATTTAGTGATGTGGTTCTGCAATTTAGGATCAATTGACTCTGGTGATTGTGTAGTGCATGACGTGGTGAGTAGGTAAAGAGATGGATATAACTAAAGACTAGACCAGCGAATGTGGTGGCATCATTATGCTCCTTTGTTTTGCGTTTTGATCAATAGTCACCCACTTAGGGTTTACTCGGCCCATCCCGCCTGAGGCAATTATAAAGCTATAACAAATGTTCCCTTCCTCATAACTGGCATGCGATTGCTAATGTCACACTCTCCCATGCATGGAGAATGAACTGTACCCGGTAGCTCAGCCACAAGAGGCGCGTGACTTAAAGTGAGGCTTGAAGTGGTTAAGCTCAGAGGAATAGTGGAGTTCGATCGGTCCGAGTTGTACGAGGCCTAAGCCATAAGGAGAATGCAAATGAATGAAGCAATACTCTATCTAAAACGTCGCCTAGAGTACAGAGATACTTGAGTGCTTGAATGTTTGAAGAGGATTGTGGCCTCTGCAAAATATGAGCCTCAGACGGACTAATGTTGTTCCCGGCCTCCGAGCTAATTACATCTCATCAAGGCTAAACTAGGCGTCACGTGCAAGGAGTATCCGAAGTGCCCAGTGCCCTCGTAAGATGTTCGCAAATGCAAATTCAAACGATGTCTCGCGCGCAGAACTGCGGCGTTCAATCATTGAGTCCGATCAATGACAGCACCTTCAACCGGCACTTGACGCTTTCGGCGATTGCCCTCCTTAGAAGGATCCGACCCCTCAAAGGGACTGTGCTAATGTTGACGGATCGACTTTGTGTCAAGTATGGGCGACACACAGACCTATCGGAGGCAGCAACCATGCGTTTCATCTCACAGAATACGTCCATCCCAGTCCCGAAGATCCTTTGCGCATTCACGCATGGAGGTTGTTCCTACATCGTGATGGAAAGGATCAAAGGTGACATGATTGGTATCGGCTGGGTCAATCGAAGCAAAGAATCAAAGACGAAGCTTGTTACACAGCTGAAAAATATGGTTCAGGAGATGCGAGAACTCCGGCCTCCCAAAGAAGTAGGGGTCTCTTCTGTTAGTGGGGACCTCTGTTCGATTGCCGCTTGCCGGGCGCTTCCCTACGTTTTGGGCCTTTTTCTAGTGTCCAAGGCTTCCATCAACATTTACGAGGTGGCATGGATTTCGATCCGGGGCTTGACAGCGAAATCTAAAACCTGATTAGACAGCACGATCGTGATTGGCCTATCATGTTCACTCATGGCGACCTCAGCAGCCTGAATATCCTCGTTCGCGGGGATGATATTGTTAGCATCATTGATTGGGAAACTGCCGGCTGGTACCCGTCATATTGGGAATATACTACGGCTTGCCAAGTCAACCCCCAGAATTCTTTCTGGATCAACGAAATTGACAACTTTCTCACGCTCATGCCAGACGAACTAGAGATGGAACGAACTCGTCAAAAGTACTTTGGAGATATTTGAGAACTGATACAGCGCTTACGCTTCATATTATGATCTCCTTGTGCTCGACCAAGTCATATGTCGGGGCTTTGGTCATATCAAAATTCCCTTGCCCATCAAAGCGATGCTGGTCCTTCTTCCTTTGACAGTAACTCATTGACTCGTTATCGACTGGGAACCAGTCGATAACACTCGTGCCCAAAGCTTTACCATCTGCTTTGACCTTCTCCAAAGCTTCCCGTACCCAAGACACGCAGTTCCATCCCACTTGGTTTTGCCTGACGGGTGTTGCACGCAGGATTTGTACAAGACAGTTTCCATCCTCCACCTTGCTAATCATGACCCGAACAAGCAACATGCTTGTAGCGGTGAGTGGGGATTCACGCTCCTCAAAATGCCATTCGCTACCCCCTCCCACTTTCGGTCTTTCCTTCGCGTGGTACTGGACACCCATTTTGCCTTGTGTCTCGATCTTCGGGCCAACAATCAACGCCCAGTGGTAACTGGATCAAAGTCATTCAACGTGATCCCATGGACGAAAGTTGGGCGTCTTGAACTCACGTGTCTTCCTCCCCGGGCATGGTAGGGGCTCCTCCGCGCGCGTAGAGGGCAACATATAAGCGGTCTTTATTGGACGATTTCTTAGGGTACCCTGGGGAGATGGAAGAATAGGAAATCTGCTCAGTAAAGGACGGACGGCAGTATGCTTCTCACACCTCACGAGCAAGGTATCTCGCAATCGATGAGCCAGAACTCTGGGAGGCCTTTATATCTCATCCCAAACGCTTGTCATCGTTCTTGATCACTCGGCCATCCGTCGGGCGCTTAACGACCAAATTAGAACTTTCCCCTGAAGTGCTTCGAATAGCCGCTTTGCTAATGCGATGTGACAAGGAGCGCCCACTAGAAATCTACATGAGTCTGAACATTTGGCGTATCTCGTAGCCGATAATTGTCTGTAGGTTACGAGTCTGGGATAGCCAGGGCGGTTGTGCAAGATACTCGGCCTACTTCAACAAACCAACCGACCTTCACCCTTGTCCTTGAGATCAACGACATCAAGACTCTTCCTCCCTCTCGCCTGCTTGCGACGGTGACCGAGCCGATACATTACCAACCCTGGGGACATGCCGCTCAGACCGGCGCAGATCTGCGGAGGACGTTTGAGGAGGAGGAGGTACTAGACTGTTAGTGAGAAGATCTACACATACTAGTTAAAGGGGTGAATGTGGACAGGCCACTGCTTACTCTGTCTCAGATCTCTTCCGCCATAAACATGTATTATGATTATAAACCATGTGGACGATCCTAGATTACACCTAAACTTGGCTATGACTATCAGGGACGAAGAACAGGGTGGATACTAGATGACCCGTGGCGGACTGCGTTTCAGATACATTGACATTTCGCATATCTATTCCGTAGTTGCATGCAGATTATTGCGTAGGCAGAAGGGTCACTTAATTGTTTTCCTCTTGTTTCGGGTGATCCTCATGATCATGGTCTTGAATCCTTTCTGTCTATCTGATACAGCAGGATCAAACAGGACTCCGTAGTGTGAGGGGTACTCCGTATGTTGATATAGTATGGCGTGATGTCATGGACAATGATGTTCAAGAATGAATGATTCAATTCGACTGAATTCAATTCACTTCAGTCAAGTTGCTCAAAGTACTCCGATGCTCATGTCAAACCCCCACAAAAACAATTCGATCCTCGAAGATCCAAACCCCTACCTTTATCAATCTCCCCTCTGATACCACCAACACACCCCCAAGAAACACAGCAACACCCCAGCCAACTAACTAACCAAACAAACAATCCCCCTCTTCCTCAAATCCCCATCCACCTTCCCCACCTCCTTCACATAATACGGCTGCCCGGGCAACTTCAACCGCCAACCCCCCTTAACCCTTAACTCCCGTAACGGCTCCAAGAAAACCGGGATCTTCTCCACCGGCTCACAGAACCAGCTCCCGCTCAACTGCAGCGTGAAGCGCTGTAATCCCGACATGCGCGTCAGCGCCTGACACGTCTCGACCCACTGCTGGCGGCCGGCGGAGAAGTAGACTGATTTCACGGGGTCCTTGGAGGGCAGCCAGTGGCCCGGGAAGGCCCAGCGGAGCTCGACGGCGCGGATGCAGTTCCATAGCCCCAGGGGGATCGTAGGGTGGAGGTAGGTTAGGGACCAGGTGTTGCTGAATTCGAAGACGTTGTGGGTGTAGAGGAGGGGGAGTGATTCGGTAGATCTGGTTTTCTCCGATCAGCTTGGCTAGTTGGGTGAGGGAAGGGTGGTTTATAGATGTACGAATGAGAGGGTTCTGTGCAGGCAGATCGGTAGGTAGATAGGTCGGGAATTCGATTCCATGTAGCCACCATGGCCCGTAACCAGCCCATCGTACATAGGTCGCACATGGGGAGATAATACTAGTCAGGCAGGAAGGTAGGTAGGTACTTGAACCACTCACATCTGCTTACAAGCCACCACCAACGCCAACAACCTCGCGTCTCCTTCTCGCGAGGGCAAACCGCCGCGACAGATCTCGCAGGCCTTGGTGCGCGGACACACGACATGGCCCATTCGGCGATTCGGTCGCTGCACGATATGGATGCGCATTCCGCCGAGGACCATCTCCCAGATCATGAGACGTAGCTCGGCGGATAGTTTGCTCAGGAGCGCGCAGTTGGGTTGGCTGGTCCAGACGAGTCGGTTGTCGGGGCGTTGGTGTTGCTGCTGCTGCTGCTGGTGGGATTGAGGTGGTTTCTGGGATGTTTGAGAGCGATTGACGGCACTGGGCTTTCGGGGTCGAGGGATACCGGTGGGTTTATTATCTAGATCTCGTGATTAAGGTGGGTCGAGGGGCAGATATCTAGGGAAAGGTATATAGAAGAGAGAGCTGGAATGTACATACTCTGATACCGCTGTGCCAGCACATCCTCCCAGGAGAAGACACCCGTTTTGATTCTGGCCATGGTAATGGGACTCAAGATCGAGATGCGATATCAAAGACTCAGAGATAATTATTCAATAAAAGAAGGGATTAAAGTAGGCCAAGCCAAGTAACTGCCCCAAGCTGCCACAACAATCATATCGTGGCCATCTCAATAGCGAATCGGCTTAAAAAATGACCAGAAACAAAACAAACACGGACCTCGCAGCTGCGCGTAACCCGGGAAATATAAATCAACGCAACTGTCGACCTGCGCGAGGCAATGGACCACGCGAGGACGAAGCACGAGAGAATACGTGGCCAGCGGTGGGGGAAAGAAGAGGGGAGGACCGACAGTAAGCGCGAGGGTTTAGTTACCTACTGGAGGTCGCGGGCGCAAGAGAAGAGCAACACGAAGGCTCTGGGAGGTCGGGATGAGGAAGGAAAGAAAGCGCGCATATTGAGAAGGGGTTCCTACTTCCCTTTTTTTTAGATCAGAGAAGGGGAACAGTCCGGGTTTAAATGAGGCTGATTGATAAGGCCGCAATCCGGTCTCGCCCGGCACTTCTTATCTCCCTCTGATTTGGTTTCTTGGCGAGATACGAAGGACAAGACGGTCAGACGAGGTTATATAAAGCTATTCCTTGTAAATACAGTGCATTGCTCGTGTCATTTCCCATCATCTACAAAGATAAAAGAGTGTGTCGCTTGTCTTGGTGGTCGGGAAAAGAATGAATGGTTCCATACCACCAATAATCCAAGTATACCAGGTCATGTTAAACAAGATACCAAATATAGTGAGAAACACCGAATGGACAGCGGATCCAGATCACCTACTCCCAATCTCGTCCTGGTCCTACAGTCCAGCCATCACAGGAACAGAGAAGGGGGAAATCCCTCGCTCAGGTAGCACGAGGTTGGTCAACACCCAAAGTATTGGTAGGACATGGAACATTCAATCCCTGCTGCAACATTGTGAGTCCTGCGGGTTGAAGTTTGTCAATGGGTCCACTCTCGGGTGGAACGACGCCCACGTAGGGATTGAAATTGTACAGTCCGCAGATGCAAGTATTGACGATATTCTTCAAACTCGTGGCGCCTTGCACCGTCTTACCGTCGCGCGCGAACGAGAACTTCTGTTGCCCAAGCCCCATGGGTACCCTGAAGGCGCTGGCCCCGGCTGGTGCCTCGAATTTCTGATTGTTCTGGCCCGAGGTGACTTCCACCGTCGCCGGGGACTTGAGCAGTGACACCACGAAGACTTCGTCCTGCATAGTCTCCCAGCCATTCGGTCGGCCGCGGAAGAAATTGCCGCTGGAATTGTTAGGGTTCCCCTGCATGGTCGAGTCGGTTGCGTCGCAGTTCAGATCCTTCGGGGTTGGTCGGTACCAGTAGACCAGCTTTTCGTCTGTGATATAGCTGTTGACGTTCTTGTCACCGGCCTTGTAGGCTGCGATGAAGGGTTTGGACATCTCGAGCCAGCCTGCGTGTGGCCTGGTATAATTGGTTAGGCCGGTCCCACTTGCAGATATAGAGGAAACTCACATATCCATGACCCATTTTGATGCTCCATCATCGGTATGGGGCGACGCCAGCGGTCCAATGTAATGTGACTCGCCGTAATCATTCCAGGTGACAATCTCGACGAAGCGAGGACCAAGATTCAAGATCTCATTCCACCGATTGTACCACAGAAGATCCCCAGGGAACACCCAGTTCTTGCTGTAGGGCACCTCACCCCCGAAGTGGGTGAAGAACCACCCGGAAGCGGCTATCAGAGTCAATTAAACCAATCATACGACAAGACTGGAGACACGAGGACTTACGTGCAATATAAGGCTTGCCCCTCAGCGCATTGACATACGAAGTGTCACCCTCAATGACAGAGACATTATGCCCGGGGGTTGGCGCCTTATTGTTACCATTATTGTCCCAAGCCATCCAATTCAACGCACCATCGATGGCATTGAAGTCTCCCTGGCCTGGATGGAAGTTGGGGGCAAAGAATACATCCGAGCCGGCGGCCGATTTCATTTGGCCAATATCGAGACCATCGCCGGCAAACGAAGACGTAAACACCTTACCGTCAACCTTCAGCTGTGCAGGTCGGCTAGAATACTGCCTGATCTTCTGGCCAACGGCACTGGCCTGCCCAGTGTTATACCAGTTGAAGTCAAACGAGATGAAAACCTTCATGTTATTGTTGGCGGCCGATTCGTATGCCAGATTGAGCTGCTGATCAGTGTAGGGGTCTACACCGATGTTCAGCGCAAATGCATCGATTCCCAATGCTTTTGCGCGCTTCATGTCGTCATCATAGTCGGCAGGGCTATTGCGGTTGCTGCAGATACCAATCTGGGATCCGATATCAGCTGTCACAGCTCATTCGTTCGTAAACAAAGGAACTCACCATGAAATGACAGAAAACCAGCCGGTCCGTGGCCTTGACATTTGGCTGGTCTTCAGGTACCGGAACGGCGGTAGCCATTGACGAGATGGCCACAAGCACCAGAGCAATAAGTTTAAACAGCATGGTCTTGGATCGTCAGTGAGGTTCCGGTCAGGAAAAGCACTCACACTCAGACATGTCAATGCAGGGTAGGGGAAAACCAACCAAAGTTCCTTAACCCAGTGAAACTTCCAAGAAAACGATGATGGATATCAAAAAGAGACAATTCTGCGCGAATCCAATGCTATATCATATATAAAAATCTGGAGGAGCTCTCTAGTCACCAGAGATAGAGCAATTGAGTTCCACCTACTAGATGCTTGATTCAATTCGCCAATTGAGGTCTGGTCAGAGCGAGAATAACGATCTATCATCTTTCTTTTATCTTCTTCCACGGATCCCTGTTCAATGGGATTTACAGGGGGCATCTCCCATCATGGGATTTCAGAATGCAACAGTATCAACAGGAGTCTATCACATGGGACGGGCCGGTCATGGAGTCGTGAGTGATGGTCAGACCCAAGGTCTTAGAGTCTCACTAGCAGAGTGTCTTAAAGTTTGGAAAAAGGTGTGGAGGATATAGCATTATCCAAACACAGAAGAGAAAGACGGTGAGAAGGAGCCACGAGACCACCGTTTTGAAGAAATCAATTGGCCCCATGGATATGGGCTACGGGATCTGCCAGCCAAACTCTCAAGACACGGCATCTTGCCGTCCCGTTGATCGACACAAGATGGCATTCGCCAATCGTGTTGACATGCGAGACAAGACTAGCATCTCTCGGGTATATCCGAACGGATGTGTGCCCTGAAAAAATGGATTGGGCTCCCGGATTTGGGCCTTCAGATCATGGCTTCAATCTGCTTAGCGTCATTCCCACGGTGACACGCCTCTGAGTTGGATCGCCAATCAGAGGACTTAGGAAGGGTGCGTTACCTGTTGGAATCCCTTCTAGACGTCGCCGCCGAGCCCATCCTTCGAGCGTTAGCGCGGAATGAAAAGATGACGGACTTACATCAAGCCTAGTATACCGCGGCCCAACGTCATTAGCCACTGCAGGATGCTCCGCACGATGCAACACAACATGCATGCATGCAAGCCAGAAGGGATACATTACCTTCGGATGTCCCATCCCCAGATAATGCCAGTCTTGCTGTTCCCCCAAGGCTGCGGGGTAACATTGTTGGCCCACCAGCCACGAGATGCCATCACCAGACAATCGGAACATATTGCCCACGCGTCGTTCCGTGCATGTAGGGATCCGGTTTAGTGAGCGCTTTGCTCCTTCGCAGCCGGTGAGGCTTTTCTCTCGGGTCCTCTGACAAGCAGTCGTGGGACTGAAACGGGTTGGTCCTACCACCCTGTGGCGGGGAATTTGATCACATCGTCGTGTAACGCTGCAGGTGCTAAAGACCGGTCAAAGGTTCCCGTGACGTGCCATGGCTTGCATTAATTCTCCGTCGTTGGTCAGGCCATTCTTCTCTGGCCCCGGATTCTTTGTTATGGATGACGGACATTTCATAAACTGGGCTAGAACGCTTGTGAGTCACGGTGGGCCTTCCCCTATGATGAAGTCAGTTTAAATACCGCATTCCACTCCAGTCATTATGGTCCTCGGGGCAACCTCATTCAGATTTGATGCTGTTTGTTACATCAGTTGGGCAGAAGAAACCATCGGCGTCGATAGATGGATATAAGCAGATAACGAAGATAAGATAAAATAAAACAAATTTAACGTGGGTTCTTGAAATTGGACAAGCGTCAGTTGCAGAAATCATTAGAAATTTAAACCGATAAATCAGCAGTGGATATAGAGAAGAGGATAATAGGCCACTGTAAACTAGTCGTAGTCAATGTTCAACTCCACTTGGTAGATTGCGGCTCTTCCCACAAGCCATGGATCCGAAATCCCATCAGAGAATAGAGGCAAAACAAAGTAGATAGAAAGCCCAAAGTACGATCACAGTACAGCAAACGCGGAAACATAGCTCACAGAACTATCGTTAACATCAACCACATCCGAGCTTCTCTCGTATCTAACAAAATGGAACTTCCCGGTCTTTCCCTCATTCGGACGCTCAATATGTTCAATGGCAGCCATGATAACGCCGATAGGATGGCGCCCGCAAACTGTATTTCCCGTGGTCTGGATGGTGTCCAGGAAGGTTGCAGCCGAGCCCGTCGTGATGGCCGCCATGGTGGCGATATCGAACGCCGAGATACTCTCATGGATGGCGGGCGCACCGTCATCGACGCGTTCCCGACGCTGCAAGGAGTTCCCGGCAGACACCATGTCCATCTTGGCCTCGACATCGCTGATCTCGCCACCAGGCTGGGGCAGGGCACCGGCGGAGAGGGGAAGTTCGGGGCCCGGCTTGGGGGCTTGGGGAACGTAGTATGTATAATGGAAGCGGAGGCCCCAATGGCAGAAGTCGGAGCTAATGACAAACGCGTTCTCGGGGTCCTCAAGGTATGGCGCCAGTAAAGCTCCGAAGGCGCTCTCGGTGGAAGCAGATGCGCTTCCTACCATGATCGGCACCAGTGGCGGGTATTCAGATGTGGGTTTATCAGGGTGGTACAGCTGCAAAAGACGGTGGATGTACGGCAAATGAAGCTCTATGCTATGTTCATCCTCGTCAACGGATCTAGACATCGTCGTGAAGCTAACCGACGTCCCGCTTGGCTTTTTTGCTTTGGTCGAGCGGAGCTTAGCGATAACCTCCATGTCCAGCGGCAGAGGGTCGTCGGAGAGCGGGGTAGAGTACGAGGTGAGTTCTGGCAGAGCCAGTGTCGGGAGATAGTGGTGGTGGGATGGTCCCAGAATGAAAATACGCTTCCTGGTCACACAGAGTTATTCGAACGAGGACAGGTTTAGAGTCTAGCGAGTGAAGTTAAGCTTACGCTTTCGACAAATCCCAGGCCTTGTACGCGTGAGCGGCACAGGGTCCGGAGTACGCATAGCCCGCATGCCTATAAGGATCAGCGACAGGAAATAGCAAATTTTGATGCGGACAGTATCCTCCAGTACATACGGAGCAATGATAATTCGGGCACCAGGCACGGGTAAAGAGCCAATATTCTCAAGCTCCCCCGGAGCTTGCGCTAGCCATTGGTCGAGTTGGCGGGCAAGAGTGGATTGACTGCCAGAATACCACGAGCCAGCGTGAGTAGCTTCCCGGGTTTGCATTTTGATGGTTTTCTTATGTCTGGATTTACCAACGAGCGGGAGGAAACCGGATATTCTTCGCTTGATCGAAAGTTGGAGATCGACTGCCATCGACCGAGGAGGCAGAAGGCAGAAGAAGCGGGGAAAGCCGAAGGGGGGAAAGCGGAGGGCATGACGTCGCTGCCTAAGGCCCCCACAGCGGGATGCCGAGGGGCGGCATGCCGACTAACCAGTCTCTGTGATTTGGAAAGGGATTAAGTTGATCTTAATCTGAGAGCCTACTAATAAAGGTGCGGTATGTGTGGAAATATTCTCATGTCCATATCTATGGAAATTAGGCTTGCATTGGCAAGTTATGGTACATGTATAAGAGGCGATTGATATGTGCCCTGATTAACCATTTGGAGGCTATAGCAAGTTTATGCCTCACTATGGGCTCGCGATGAGCCATTGGTGGAATATCGACCAGGTCGTTCTACTCGAACCAATTCGATGCCCAGACTCATCATATGAAGACAATTCGACAGCTTCGGATCCCCGGCACGAATGAGCCACATTCCCTTCGCTCTTGCCAGTGTAACTAATCCTATTCGCCCCATGGTAACTCATGTCCGACCTTCCATAGCCACGACAGACTAGTTTCTCGACCATGTCTACCGTCGTTGTGCATGGTCTGGTTCGGCAAGCCAAGTCCGCAACACTCCGATCTATCATTTCAGCTCCATCTCGCAGTTCCGGTGCTCCAAGGATAGGTCATTTCCCGAAGACTGCCAAGTGTGATGCCTAGCATCATGCGCTGTCTCATGCAGTTTGTTCAAACGGCACCTCTGAGTCGTTCCACTTCAACAGGCAATGACTCATAGAAATGTCACGAGGATATGCAAATGAAGGTGTCTCAGACAAATATGCACGATGACTTGAAGCCAAGGTAAATATATCCTCGATTGCTCTCAAATGTTGGTTCAATATCCGGATTAGGCTTGTGTCTGTCAGATGGTGGGAGTGTTCGATGCTTCGTTCGTGACCTTGATCACAGGGAAATAAGGCATGCTGGGCTCTGGAGTAGGTGAGTAGTCTCATATCCTGGAGATTCATTTTAGTAGAATCTCTATCAGGGTTTCATCTTGCCTCTTAATAGACGGTGTGATGGCACCAATCACAGAAATTTTAGCATTAGAATGGCTATAAATTTTAAAGAAACGTCTCCAATACCTAGTCCTTTCTGTCAGCTTGCCTGTTAGAGATATTTAGAGATTGTAATGGAATCCACCATGAAAGAAGCAACATCGATTTCCGGATTTTCTGTTGTTTTGGTTACCCGTATACATCGCCGATGTCGTGATATTCAAAACGGTCTTCAACGGAACGCAGGCGGTCAATTGACATCAATCACCACTGAGTAGTGCCTAACGGAAAACACCGGGTGTCACCTGAAGACACAGAGGTGGAAGGTTGGACGAGGAATATTGGATGGTATCACTGCAGGCTAACTTCCTAATCTCAGCGGCTGTTGACGGCTATCGGCCACTACTAGCAACATATGTATGCGGTAAGCGGCCATGGGGATAGTTGGATGAGTTTTCCTTTTTATACATAAAGATTGGCACTATTTAAATTTGGTATTACTACTCAAGTAACCAGTTATTGTAGATAGATCACTATTAGGGTGCTAATGCCCGCTGTTGGTCATTAAATGTATTGAATTTATAAAGCATATCATATAATAATTCTACCTACATACCTGCCTAGAGAAGCGGTCGACCTACACCGGACTCTATGTGGTGTTTATCCTGTAACTAAGCAAACTGAAATGACCCAATCTTATAATACCTGTATATAACTAACTATATATCCTATATTATGTCATCATCCCAGCATGTTAGCTCAGGGGAAGAGCGCCGGGCTCATAACCCGGAGGACCCTGGATTGAAACCAGGACATGCTATCCTTCTTTTTCTCCTTTTCCTCTTTGGATGAGGACTATCACCTGAATGCTGAATCCATTGATGAATTTATTTTTCTGCTCATTTCACTGTTCCAAAAATACCAGATAGTATAATATCTCGGAATATCTTTTTCTCTACTCTGTAGACTTTCAGCATAGTTACTCCCTTCTGGCGACGGTCAATTAATCCCGAAGCGGACTAGCGCATATTTGGGGTTGCGACGGCGGAAACGGTAACTACGCGGTCTCCCGTATTGTCCGACGCGATGGCCCAGCCCCGGCGGAGAAGGCTCCCTCTCTCCCTCCTCTCGTGTTTTTGCTACAGTCATTATTCACACATCGTCTGCATTTGATCCCCCACTATATTTGAACGAGAGTCTTCCATTGGTATCATCCACAATAGTCCAACTTCCCTATCATTGCGTTTCAATCCCCACCCTTTCTTCGCAGCACATATAACAGCCATGTCTCTTAAGCGCAAGGCTTCGTTCCCGACCATTGCCTCCCCCAATACGGATTCATTCACGCTCGAGCTCTTATCAATGGACGATTCCCCCAAACATCTCAGCAGTCGCACGCGAAAGCGATACAGGAACGATCGCCCTGAGGACAAAGTTGTATATGGTACGTGACTGCTGAGAAGCGACATACAACAACAGCGACCATCCCACGAGTCAAGCACAACTAACAGACGGCAGAGAATACCCTCCGCTGGCTATTCACAGCCCAGCAGCAACAAGGCCCCACGGCTTCCCCCGAGGCAGACGAGAACATGGATCTGACGACGCTCTCCTCGTCGGAGATAGTCGATCCGCGCCAACAAACCCTCCACAAGTTCTTTCAACCCTCTCAAACATCGTCATTCCAGCCTCGCGCGAACCATCTCCATCAACGCCCCCACGCCAACCCCCCATCCAATAACATCTTCCCGCAACGCCCAGACTTCGATATGGTTTCAACTGTCACTTTGATCAGTCGCGACACCAGCAGTCCGTCGTCTCACGGTGCCAGCACCGGCATGGACATGGACCTGGACATGGGTCCTAATCGCGACGACCCAGGCCAGGATATAAGGAAATGGATGGGTAGACACGGATGGATGCCATAGTGGTCATTCCGGCTCTCACTACCTTTACCATGGTTGATGCCGTGCGATGCTACTGCTTGTTGCGGATATAACACCCTACCAATCATTGCTGGTCATGGTTGGTACCATACCCTATTTATGCTCAAGATTGATACGACTATGGCGGATTTGATAATATCGTTATACGCGATCCGCTGTGCAGTACTGCGATTTTAGTTTAGCGTTGTGAAGGAGCTTATCTTGACAATTTAGAGTCGAGTATATAATTTAGTCATTTTCAGGTTAGATCGGTTCAGATCGAGGACTAAGTCTTGGGGTTTTGGTTGTAGATCAGATTTGCAGACCGTTGATCAGGTGGTATATGCGCATGACCTACACCAATGCTTGAAGAAAGGTTATACTCTGGACAGATTTCTTCAACGGTCGACTATATTCATTGTGTATGACGTCTGCTCAACAGTCAACAGAGTGTGCGAGGGCTCTCCAACGTTCAAATCAGCATCTTGACAACAGCTGTAAGTCAACATGAACAGGAATCATAAATAATTATGATTCCTAACGAAACTCCGATGGGCAATTTGAATACGCAATATCGCGTGGTCCAGAACTCCAGACTATTCCAAAGTTTCCCAAATTGCGGGGGTGTCACATGCCCCGTCAAGTAGGCAGTGTCAGCCTGAGGATCATTGAAAAAAAAGGAAAAGAAAAAAAAAAAAGAAAATCCAAGGCGGGCAGGGCAGCGGGCGCCGGGCGGTCACTCTCTCCCCGCCGCCTTTCGTTTGCATCTACTCCGCAAGGCGGCGCAACAAAGCATTCCCGGAGACACCAACCGGAATCCATCCAGCCCACTTACACTACCTTCCTAGTCACAAACCTCAAAGCCTGAAGGCTTTATCTCATTATCTTTCATTCTTGCTCTCACCGCGACGGTTTTCGCCAAGATTACTTTTACCATCCCAGTCTGACTAGGACCCTCGCCGTTGCGGTTCGCAGAACAGTCCAGACCGCCCGAGGGGGGTTTTAAGTGGTAGATCCCGCCGAGCTCGTGAAGAGGTCAAATCTCAACTACCTCGACTACCTAAGGTACTAGGGAGGGTACTACGGGGATCGATTGGAAGGATTGGAAAGAACGCCGTTGGTCGCGATGGATGGCAACCGTGCTGTCCAGTTCCTGGAATCCTTGATTGGCCAGACGCTACGGGTGCACGCGACAGATACGCGCATTTTCGTGGGCAACTTCAAGTGTACAGATGCGGTGGGTGAACCTAGACGTCCCGTTCTCTTGTCTGATCACTTTCCCTGGCGTCTCGGGATGGCTGCGGAACAAAGAAAGAAAGAAATGAGGCAAAGAATACGACACCCGAAGACCAGTTGCTGACCTGTCGAGCAAACCGTCTAGGCTCGCAATATTATTCTCGGAAACACCTACGAGTACCGATTTCCCTCCTCGTCAGCCGTTCGAGATGCAGCGTCCGATGGAAGCGCGCTTAGTCAGGAGTCGGGGATAACGGCGGAATCACCGAGCGTCAAGGTAAATATGACGAGTCGATTTATTGGGTTGGTGGTCGTTCCCGGTCAGCACATCACGAGAATCGAGCTAGAGGAGACCCCACAACAGAGTCGTGTGCGTGAGACGCTCAGGAAACCATAATGGCAGTATTGAAATGCAGGCCAAGACCGACTGCTTCTCATCTTGCGCGCTGGACGCGGAACCCGGTTTCTCCAGAGGGATGTTGAACGAACCCAGCCAATCATGATAATAGAACCAAAATGGATTGCTTGCCCATATATGGCGTTCTGCATATCTCCGTTCCCTTTCCTCTTCTCTCGAAAGCCAGAATTCCCTACGGAGTAGATCCGACCTCAGCTGGGAAAGCCTTTCACCGTGAACTGCCAAGAGAACCCCGGTCGAAGATGTACCACCCCAAACCCTCCCCCCAGAACGTGGCTAGAAGGAAAGGGGGAAAAGCTGTTGGTACTTGGCGCAGTACCTCAGGCTTGGCAGCCGCCGCTGCGGCGATGACCTTGCTGAGCTGAAATGGCGGTGTTCCTGCAGTTGGTGGAGTCGACCCTCCCTACCATCCACTGTACAGGAAGAGCTGCTTGCAGTCGGAGGAAATTTGATCCAAAAAAGAAAAAAAAAGACAATCTCGCATGGATGGTCCGCGACGGAAAGTCGCTTCTCTCGGCTACAAACGCAGAGAACGGAGGACACATCGGGGGCACTCGGAATCTGGGCCACAAGGAGGCTTACAAGTTTACCAGCAATCCATGGAGAAATCCCGACAGCTGATTATTCGCCCTGCTCTTTCCAGGCAGAATCCCAATTTTCATGGGATAGAATCGAGGCAGGCCTATAAGAATACTGGATGCTTCACGTACTACGGGGCTAGCCAAGAGGCATGGAGGGGAGGAGGAAAACGTGGAGTCTGTGCTGCGATGTGTCCAAATTCAATTCCACATTCGGCCGTCACGAGCGTCGTGTTCGTCATGGGCGGCAGCTGTTGTGACTTGATTTGTTTTCGTTGAATTATATTATCATCTAGAGAGGTTTTTTTTTACTCTCTAATGATTTTGTTTATGGCTATTTTTCGTTCTGCCTTTTCTGTTCTTTTTTTTTTTTTTTTTTGGTGGTAGAAGTGGCAAGCTGCAGGCGATATCCGTATAATAGAAAACGGTCCCCCACTATAAAATCTACATGTCGATCGTCTGTCAGAGAGGACTCTGGGGCAGATTCAAACAGACCAACGCTTTTAGATGAAGGACCGGGGGACGAGGACCAACCAGCATCTCCAGTGAGTCAGAAAGACTCGTAAAGAATACTTTGAACAGGATACTTCCATAATTCATCCATCATACTTCATACTCATCATCGACCCTCCGCGGGCCGAGGAATGATCCGGGCTGGCAGCCAGAGGGGGAATCGAGACTTTCCAGCGACAGACTGGGGTTGGAGGCGAGAACCAGACGGTGACAACCAGCGGAAAAGTCACCTTCCCATTATTCTTCGCTTTCCTCTACGCTACTCTCTCTACTTCCTCCCTTCTGCCTCGACGTCAACCCCCCAGTTTCAGTCGAACTTGCGCCCAACTTCACTTCTTTGTCAATATTCATTCCCCCGATTCCCCCAACTGTGAGTAGCTCCTCCTTGCCTACCACCGACCGTCCCGCCCATCCATTCCATTCTCCATCCCCGTCCCCCATAATCGTCCATTATAATAATGACGCATTCTTCCATCCCTCCCCTCCACCGACTTAACTCAAATTATCCCCCCGTTCAGACTCTCGCTTACTCCCCCTACCCGCCCTCCACATACCATCTGGGAGCTTCCTGTGCTTCTCTCCCCCCGCCCCAAGCTGCCCTTGACCTTGAAGTTTCCTGAGGCTGTTATCGTCTGCCGTTGTATCTTCTAACCGTTATCGCCTGCTTTGCCCAGATAACAGGAGCTTTCCCTGTCGGCGAATCGGAACTTTCCCTTCCGACAAACTACCTTAGGGCGCTACCTACCTATTAGGTAGCTCGAGGTGGCTTTGTGTACCATTATTGTTATGCCAACAATTTGATCCAACGTCCACCCACCCCCTTCCTCCCTTTCGTCTGATTGTCCACCTTCAAGCTTGGCAGACATTCAACCGCTGCAGCAATGGGTCAGTCGCATTCCAAGGGCAACTCCGGCCCTGGAGACTCATTGCAGTCTTACCCTTCCTTCTCTCGCTCCGATACCAAGGAGTCCATCCGATCTCTTCGAGGCTCCATTCGCTCCAAGATCCGCAACAATGATAGCCCTCGTGGATCCACTTCAGCCCTTTCTCGAACGGAAAGCCAGACAGACAAGTCAGACGCCGGGTCGGTCAGGTCGGTCGGCAGTCGGCGCAGTTCCACAAACCTGAGCACTCAATCCCCGGCTGCAGACGACTCCGCCACTGGACTCGACGCACCGGAACCTCCTCCCTCCCCTTCGTTGTCGAACAGCTTGAAAAGAGGCCATAAAGATGTGAATGCCATGCAGCAGAGCGGTGAGGTCGACCATGTCTCCGATGCTCCCCCGACCGCCGGTGCTGCCCCCACCGGATCCTCGCAGGCTGTTGGCGAATCCATTTTGATCAAACGGGAGGGTCAACTGAATCCCATCCTGGACTTCATCATGAACACGCCGCTGGAGGCAGCCTCCTCGCCCGGGATGGGAATGGGTGCACTCAAGTCCATTGACCTGGATGACATGATCACTCGTCTTCTCGATGCCGGCTATTCGACCAAGGTCACCAAGACTGTTTGCCTCAAGAATGCAGAGATCACGGCCATCTGTACCGCGGCTCGGGAGCTTTTCCTGAAGCAGCCTGCCTTGTTGGAGCTGTCGGCACCCGTCAAAATCGTTGGAGACGTACATGGCCAGTACACCGACCTTATCCGGCTGTTCGAGATGTGTGGATTCCCGCCCACATCCAACTACCTTTTCTTGGGCGATTATGTAGATCGTGGCAAGCAGAGCTTGGAGACCATCCTCCTCCTTCTTTGCTATAAGCTCAAATACCCCGAAAACTTCTTCCTCCTCCGCGGCAACCACGAGTGCGCCAACGTGACCCGAGTGTACGGTTTCTATGACGAGTGTAAGCGGCGTTGCAACATCAAGGTGTGGAAGACCTTCATCGATACCTTCAACTGTCTACCCATTGCGTCCATCGTAGCTGGCAAAATCTTCTGCGTTCATGGCGGACTTTCCCCAAGTCTCTCGCACATGGATGATATCCGTGGCATTGCCCGTCCAACGGATGTGCCCGATTACGGCTTGCTGAACGATCTTCTCTGGAGTGATCCTGCCGACATGGAGGAAGACTGGGAACCAAACGAGCGTGGAGTAAGCTATTGCTTTGGAAAGCAAGTCATCATGAATTTCTTGCAACGGCATGATTTCGATTTGGTGTGTCGAGCGCATATGGTGGTCGAAGACGGCTATGAGTTTTACCAGGACCGAGTCTTGGTGACGGTGTTTTCTGCGCCTAACGTGAGTGGATCCCACGTCTCCTGCAGAGACGATGCATATTTGTTTTTAGGTTGTGAACTCTTGGCTAACGGTGTCTTCCTGACTAGTACTGCGGTGAATTCGATAATTGGGGCGCTATCATGTCGGTTTCGGGCGAGTTGTTGTGTAGTTTCGAGTTGCTTAAACCGTTGGATTCTACGGCCCTAAAGAACCATATTAAGAAGGGACGTAATAAGCGCAACAGCATGTTGAGCAGTCCTGTAAGTTTTGTCCCTTGCGTGGATTGCTTTCCTTTTCCTTTTCGCCAAGGACCAGCGCCCGCTTCCCCGTGCAACTCTGCCGAGAGATTTGTGTCCTCGGAGGCACTCCCCTCTCTTGGCCTTTTGGGATTCCGATTACTGACGAGTGATGAATGTAGCCTGCAACCGTGTCAGCACAAAGTTATTAGGCGTCCTGGTGATGTCGCGCCAAGAAAACCCGCGTCCGCCATATGTCACCGTCGAAGCGATCTGGGCTTTTTTTATTTGATTTTTTTTTAACAAAAAAAAAAAAGAAAGAAAAGAAAAAAGCCCGCCATGATCAAACATTTGCCGTTCACCGTCCTAGTCGATCTGGATTGAATGATCGAACTAAACGATGTCGGCGCAGCTCCTCCTGGGAACTGTCCGGTTAACACGCATCGTTCAGGTCCCAGAGGATTCTGGACTGCGATGCAGCGATGCCGACATTTCCAATCAGAAGTCGCTTTGCTTGCCAGAGACAACAAGGCTTGACAGATACGGCAAGTGGCAGGTCCGTCGTCTTGTCCGTAACTATCAAGAGGCCTATGAATAACCCAATTTGCCCGAGCCGTGAAACGGGAGGTCATCCAGCTGGGGAGATGGATCTTTTGTTGATGTTAAGTCTGCGCGGGACATTGATGACTCTGTTTCTTTCATTCTCTTCTCTCTTTCTAATCTTTTCCATTCGTTCGCATGCATACAATGAGGGCAGACTCTGCGCACAAAGAAGGCTATCACTGTCTTATGATGAAAACCTGCTGATGTGGGGCAAGAAAGCGATGGCCGGTGTCTTGTTTTGCTCTTTTTTTTTTTTTTTTTTTTTTTTTTTTTTTTCTGTTCTTGGTGCTTTCTATGGCTCTCATCTCGTATTCATGCCTTTGCCTCCCTCTCACAACGAAACGGTTTGACGCGTTATGATACATGAACCGGCGGATAAGCACATATGGGCTGTCTTTCTTCTTCTCACGTTGATCACGTTTATCGGTGCCTGTCTTGTCTATCTGTTATGCTTGCATGGAAACATGGTGAGATCTTTTTTTATTCATGGCTTGTTGATTAGATTATTTTATTGTTTCTTGTTTCTTTTTTCTACCAGGGAATTCAGAATACATGGTGTTGTTGTTCGTCCTTATTTCTTTTTTTTTTGAGAGTTCAATTTGAGCAGAATGTTCTTGTCGTCAGTATTATTATCATCGTCGTTGCCTTTTTCAATATTTTTATATATTACACGCAACATTGCCTGTTGCCTAGTATAAATACCTATCTACCTCATCTCTCGGGAATGGGTTGGATTCAACAATTGCACTTTCTTTTCTTTTTCTTTGAGTAAAACGTTTGTCTCTGGCTTTGGTTTAGGTTCAGCTTGAGATGGGATAAGTCTATTGTTGCTAATTAGCTTGCTAGCTAGCCTTTGTCAGAGCGAACAGTAATTAACTAGTTACTAACTACCCCTTGCTTTGCTTGCCTTTAACTTAACTACCTGATGAGTGTTTGTATGTATGTACAGTATCTGGCAGATGTGATCCACTTGTATGGACTTCTTTTCCCCAATAGTAAGAGGGAGGCAAGGCCGCCCAACAGAATCGAGATCGTGATAAATGGATAGATGAGTAGATAGTACATGCCATATCTATGGTTTAGGTGGTTTCGGACTGTATAGGCGGGGTAGGTAGCGTAGGTCAGGGTATGGCATGGTAGGTAGGTCCATACAAGAAGCAAGCTTATTTGCTTGATTTCATGGGGTTTGTGGAAAGAAGCAAAGGTGAGAGAGAGAAAATTGATGACTGAACAAAAACTTTTATTGGTTTATTGATGTGGAATGGATAAAAAAAAAATGGTCAAGAAAAGAAAAGAAAACAAACACCATAACTAATTGAACCTTGCTCGCCTAACAAGTATCAAAACAGAAAATCAACAGAGAAGAAAGAAAGAGGAGAAAGGAAAGAAAACCAATGAGGCCAAGGGAAAGGAGAGGAAGGCAAAGAGATAGAAAAGAGTCTGTACAACACTGCTCTTTTCTTTCTATATCTTAGAAAGTGATATTCACGGTCACAATAAACTTTAAGCACGCATCGCTCCAGTTAATAATATCAGCCAGTCAGTGTAGAAAGGATAAGGATGATAAGATATGAATGTAAGTTTCAACCAAGAAAACAAGAAGCGACGTCTGCATTTTTTCTGTTCTCATGCATGCATGCAAGTAAAAATTATCTTACATCATAAACTGATAGACCTGATCTATTCATAGTCCCGGACATAACGGCCCGGTAGCTCAACGTCCCACATCGGTCTTTCCACGACAGCGACTTCCAGTATCCCAGTGTCATCGTCTGCGAGGTCATCGTCTGATTCATCGTCGTCCTCGGCGAGGGAAGAGGTTGTAGAAGAGGAGGAAGAGAGAGGCACAATGCCCATGATATCACGATACTTGTACGTGTGCCACCAGCGGCGACCGAGTTCGGATTTGGCCGGGTCCGACGCCACGAGGGCCCCGGCGTCAGCGGTCTTCTTGGGGGCGGGGGTATCAGCGAAGGAGTTGACGATGTGTTTCAGGCCGATGGAGAGACGCTTCTTGCGGGGCGTGTGGGGGTCGGTTTCCTCGTTGTGGTCCTGGAGGGCGGAGCGGCGGAGACGAGCGAGCTGGGCGTCCTGGGCGGAGGTGTAGGAGTCGTCGTGGTCGTTCTCATCCTCGTCGTCGTTGGGGTTCCGGGGACGTTCTTTGTCCAGGGAGACCCATTCGCTATGGGAGTCGTCGGGGCCGTTGATCTTCCGCATCTTCGGGGCGACGAAGACGTCGGACTGAGCGAGGGGAATACGGTCACCGGCACCGGTGTTGGGCTTCTTGCGGCCGTTCTCCGCGGTGGTGTCTTCGAAGGGATCGCGCTTGCGTTTGTGCTGCTGCGCAGCGGAGGACTTGGACGGAGTGGCTTGGGGTTTGGTGGGCGTGCCGGCTTCTTGGGTGTCGGCGGAGGCGCCGAGCTCTTCCGAGGAAGGGAAGTCCTGGTTGAGGTCGAACATCCAGAGCCAGGAGGTGCCGTAGAGCCAGAGACGTTCCCGCTCTTCGTTCAGGTCCCATAGACAGCCCATGGCGCGGTCCTTGACGCCTTGGAACTCGGCTGGCAGGTAGGCCTTGGGGTTTCGTCGGGACCAGTCCGATAGTTTGCCCTCGAGGGCGTCAAACTCGACCAATTGGTGCTCGCTGGTGAGCGCCATGAGGAGGCTCTCGTTCGGCTTGCCGGTTCCGTTGGTCAGTTGCTTCGTTGCAGCTGGGTTGGAGGGACGGAAGGACAGCAGGGCAACGCCGGACTTCAGGCGAGGAATGGGTGACTCGGCGGCAGTGAGCTGCCAGCGCTCGCCCTCAATGACGGGCTGCTCGTCTTCATCGTCGGAGTCGTCGTCATCCGAGTCAGCCGCAGCCTGGCTGCGTTTCAATGCGGATTTCTCCGTCGATTCCTCCGCGCTTTCCAGGGACCAAGAGTCCACGCATCCCGACAGATCGCCAACCGCAAGGACTCTGCTGTTGTCGGAGAAGACAACGCATCGAATCGCCCGCTCATAGTTGCCGAGGGTACCGTGGGAAGCCTTCTCATGACGGCTGTGACGAGTAGCCCGGTTGAGCTTGACAAGCTGGGGCAGAACCTGAGGCTTCTCCTGCGGGGACGAGGCCGGTTTAATCCGGGCCAGGTAGATGTCGCTGTTCGGGCGAATAACAGAGATCCACCGGCTGTCGGGGGAGACAGTAACGACACGGGCTCCGTCGTCCGCGAGATCGGATGGGACGTCAAACTTCTGTATGCGTAGAATTCCTTTTTCGTCGCCCTTGCGTCGGCGAACAGAGAATGCCTTCACGGTGGATGTCGTCGCGACAACCAGGATCTTTCCGTCGGAGGAGAGCATAGCGGAGGTGATGTTTTCTTCGCCCTGCAATGAGAAAGATTTACTCGTCAGAAGTGGGCTCGTAATATGGCAATAATCCAGGCCTTCTTACCTGAATGAGGACCTTTCCGACCAGCCGGTGCCGTTGGCCATCCGGCGTTTCGTGCGCAGACGTAGGGCCCCGAGACAGGCGCCAGATGCTGACCTCCCGATCCCAGAAGCTCATGACCAGTCGCGAGGAGGGCGAGGACGCAAGCTGAGGTACTTGCGGCAGGGTCGACAGCTTCCGGTGGTGTTCCTTTCCGAATTCCCGCAGCGGTAGAATGACCGGAGACGCATCAGGACCTAAGCTGCTATCAGCCAAACCAGAACAACTTCTTCTCGGTGGGAGTTAATCGTCGCCCGAGCGCTTACCTCCCGAAACCACAAAACTGATATCCTTCGTCTCGTAGACGGCAAAGGTCTTCACGTCGTGGGTATGATACCGTCGGTGCGTGACCTCGGCCCATCTCGCCTTCTTATCGCCCTTCTTCTCCGCCTCCTTCTTCCTGTAGACCACAGTTCTCTGGTCCGCGCCTCCACTGACCACAGTATCGCCCTTAGCGCTAACAGCCACATCCAGCGTATCGGCCAGATGACCCTGCAACCGCTGAATGAGGGCGTAGTTCTTCCCATCCCAGAACCGGATCTCACCCGCCGAGTCACCGGACACAATCGTCCCATCCGGCAGACACTTCACGGACCAAACCAGCAATTCCTTCGTGCCCCCAGTGGGGCCCTTACCCAGCGACATGGTGCGCAGCTGCTGACCATTCCGAATATCATACAACCGGATCGAGCTATCTGCGTAGCCGGCAACAATGGTATTCCGGTTCTGGAACGTGACACTTAGCACTCGCGCCCTCTTCGTCGTCGGCCTCATCAACCGCAAGAACTTCAGATCCTCATCCGCCGTCGACATAATCACAATCGACCCGTCCGCGCACCCCGCCGCCAGATGCTGGCCCGTGAACTCGCCCTCAGCGGCGGGCAACCACTTGCCGTCCTTCCCGCGCTGCGTGGGCTGCCAGCGCGGCTGGGCCGCCAAACACCAGATCTCGCCGTAGTTGCCGCTGGAATGCCGCAGGGGCTTCCCCTGCTCGACGTCCCACTCGGTCACGGCGGTCGAGTAGCCGATGCTGAACAGGCGCAGTTTTCCGGGGATCTTGGACCCGTCGGCCGCGGTGTCCTGGGGATCGAGCGTCCAGACGAGACCCTCGATGCTGCGGTCCTTGCCGCCGCGGAGAACCGTCTCTTGGAACCAGGCGCCGCGCAGGGGGTTCCAGATCTCGATGTCACCGTTCGCGCGACCGATCGCGAGTCGAAGGGTAGGGACACCTCGTCCGGCGAGTTCCGCGGAGGGAGGATGCGAGAAGGCGAGCGCATTGATCGCTTGCGGGTTATAAGGGACGAAACGGCAGCGGTGGATATCCATGATGGCGGTCGATGTGATGGTAAAGGGTATGAGGGATGTTTTGTGAAGGTATAAAAAAGCGCGAAGGTTCTATTGGCGTCGACAAAGCTTTTTCTCTTTGCTTCTCGTCGCTGCGGATTGACCGATCGGAGGGAGGGAAAACGAATTAAGACCCCAATGAAATGGCAGTATATTCACAAATTTTGACAATAACCTACCCAGCTCGACGTGTAGAGCCGACCGCTAGACAATCATTCCGATGGAGCGTTGATGTCTAGGAAATTGAGGGTCGGGTCGTCTGGGGTGGTGGTGGATTTGATGTCGCTCGACCTTTTTTTTTTTTTTTTTTTTTTTTTGGATAACAATTTTTAGCGCGCCGCGGAGGTTCCACCACCATTGGCGGCACGTGACCGGTCTGGGTCTATATGATGGGATGCTGTTGCTTCAACCAGAACATCCACGATTTAATCGTTGGTTTTATTCGAGTTGATGGGTCTGATTATGAGGAGTTGGGTTCAATGGTTTTCTATTCAAACGCAATCAAGACTAGGATAACCTGGGTCGGCGTTGTTAATGATCAAGCAATATATGTAGTAGCACTCTTTGCTAAAAACCCAGATAGTGCAAATGCGTCAAAGAAATACAGTGCTTATATCTAGAGCCCAGTTGAATATCAAATGTCTCAGTTGAGATTGCAGTATCTATTGCGTTGATTTGCTAGTATCACATACAATTCCCACACATAAACTGCAGATACAGACACAGGTTCATCCAGGAACAGTCAATAGCTTCCACCGACCAACTAACAATCCAGCCTAGAGCACCATTCTTAGCTATTTGAATCTAAATGGTCCTAGTTGTCAATTGAACAGACGCAGTCCAAACAATCTAAAGAACTCATCCCTCCCATCTCTCTACGGAGTACAAAGAACACAATTGAAACAATCGTGGCAAACAAAAGAGTCCTCAACAACCTAAATGAATGAACCAACCACCCTCCCAATGACAACAAACAAGTGCCGACAGGGACCAGGGATCAATGGAGAGGATCTGCCGTATACGGAGTACGAACTGCGTTACACGCATAGGCAGTCAAGCATGGAGCCATAGATAATTCGAAAGACGGAATGCATTCCACCAATGCTTTCAGCCCGGGCAATTGCATGCACACAAGGCTTTTGCATAGCAATAAGCAGGAGGCACGGAAGGCAGGTGGTATGCGCATATGACAAGCGAAACAGTTGGACAGTAAGAGACCACGGAAGAAAGGCAATTTGATTTGATTTGATTTGAATTTCTAAAAATTTTCCCCTGTAAAAGTAAGGCCAGAAAAAAAAGTCAAGTTATCGGGTATGTTGGAAGATGAATACATGCAGACGCAAGCCTAGTTGCATTGACTAGATATGTTGTATCAGTCGAAAGACGAGTGTTCATAGGTCGGGTCCAGAACAGAGGACTGCCACGTCAGACCCAACCACCCCCCAGGCCCAGTTGCAGGTGCGCATCCAAGACTAGGAATTCGCAGTTTCGCGACCCGAATGATTTGATAGGATGCCGATGATGGGCTTGACGCTGCAGGAAAGAGAAAGGACTCCACCTACCGGGGGGAAGAGAGAGGGGAGAGGGGAGAGAGGGGGGCGATTTCTCGCACGGAATGGCAGAGCTTATGCATATCGACATTGACGGTGGAGGCTGAAGACGGAAGAGAGAGACGTAAGTGATACCGGAAAAGGATAGGCAGAAACCTTTCCCAAGGCCCAGTTGGCAGGGTCGAGTGGAGAGTTTGGCCACCCAAAATTCGCCGGTGGATTTATCTTCCATGTTCAGCTGAGAAGGAGATGCGACGCGGCTGGGCGGGAGTGCGGGGTGTTTGATGATAGGCATCATCCATACCTGAGCCGCAGTCTGACTGACAGACCCCGTCCTATCTGTCTGTCTTTCCATTTGCAATCGTCGCGCGAGATGGTTCTACCAAGCAGCTAACTTAGGTGGCCCGGCTCGTTAAAACAGTCCTTGAATGGGATTCGTCGGCCTGCGTGACCCTTACGCGACGATAGGCTCTGGCATCCTCTGTTCCAGATAGCTAGCCTTCCATGACTCTATTTTAAAGGAAAGTGGCTTGCGCATGGTCGCAAGTTGCAGCCCGTTGCATCTTACACCGGTCCAATGGCGAGTGCGAACACAAGGAAACAAAGGTAGAACTCCACGACGTGTGCAATTTACATAACTCTTAGAAGCTGCGCCAGACTCGATCGTGGCGACAGGACCCGAGGATCAAACCCAAAGTCTCTCTGGCAGAAAAGGGTCGAGCGTGGGATAAAGTTCAGGCAATACGGTTATCTTAAAAGGTTAAACAACGGGTGAATGAGCGAGCGATCGATCATGGTTGAACCGCTTCGGCTGGATGCAATCACCAATAGCAGCGATGGTTAAGATCCCAAAGGCACAACCCGATATCGCGGCATCGGCACGTCTCCCTAAGTCCATTCATTATTAGTCATGCCAGCAGTTGTCCAAAACCACCAGAACGAGAATCAAGTTGGCATGAATCAGACACTCAAGTCCAGAACCAACCGAATCAACCTGTGGTTCAGGAGGTGGCTGACGGAATCTTGGTCCAGGCGTCGCAGTTACAACCGATTAAGTAAATCAAAACTTCCCCCCTGATGTGCTGGAACCACAGCGGATGCAAATTGCGACTATCTTCATATAACCTATTTTAGGCACCCTGGCAAGGATTCCCCCAGTAAGTTGGCAATAATCAAAAAACCAGCGGAACCCCGAGGGCCAGTATTATTACTTATTATTAGTGATTAGCCCGATGCACTATCGTCGGACCAAGACAAATTAATTCCGGATTTCGACCCTTCCCCCCAGTTAAGTTAGTGGTACTAAATGAGAAGTGGTAAACTGGTGCAAGGCAGGCCAGGGCAAGTGCAAGGCAGGGGGAAATTTGACCCAGATTACGGAACCTCCGGTCCTCCCCCCTCCCAATCCATCGTCTAACTCTAGACCAGGATCATCCGGAGAAAAAAGTAGGAAACACGCCAGATGGGACAATAAGCGCGGGATGGACCAGCGAACGCGATCGTCGAATCAGGGCGCGTAGATGCCCTTTTCTCGGTTTCCACGCCAAGCTAGCATCGCGGATAAGAACTGCGCGCAATTTGACAAATAAATTGTAATATAAGTGGCATTGTTATGTCACCCTGGGGGCCTTTTCTGTTCTCCCCCTTAACTAAACTTCGGGCCATGTTGGGAACTTGGAACGGAAGTTGGACGGGGGGAAATGGGGAGAAAACGTGGCTTGGAAGTAGCGTGTTCTAGGGAAGCTGTCGGATCCTGTCAATATGTCCGAATGGGGATAAATTGAGAGACCGAGAGAAGGATGTCCCCAATTTCCTCCCTTCAGTGGAGAATCCGAGAAGGCCGGTTAGTCAGCTCAGGGAGGGAAAGGGGAGACAAACGACCAAAAAAAGGAGTTCGCTCAATTCCATCCCACACTGCGATTGACTAGGTGTGAGACTAGAATGCTAGGGAGGGAGATAGAATACGGAGTCCTCCGTATGCCTATCATAGAAACATCTTGGAAGCTCATTTCGGTTCGATGATCGCAAGTCAATTTTCCCTAACGGGCAGGCCGGACGCCCGAAACGTGGGACGCGAAGTCAATCAATGACGCCATGGGTCTGGGTAAGGAAAGGAAAGGGAAAATTAGGACACAGAAACGCGCAGTTGATTTCACGTTGCATCTCCACGCGCCTTGAAAATTAAAAATAAAAAAGCTCGGTTCTGTGACCGTGTGACAATGGGCAAGCGGGCTTTGGCCATTGGCTTGCTATATATACATTCTACAGTAGGTACATACCTACATATGCTGTACACTAGCAAAGAAAGACCTTCAGCCAAAAGGTAAAACATGGCCTGAAAGATCGGTTTCTTTTCCTTCTTTCTTCTGTTTCTTTTTAGCTTTGGGGTTGAATGTGGAGTCGTTTATTTACGCTCACTGGGACCCACTCCTATCTCGAGCTAACCATCAGGGGACTAGTGTGGTACGGGTACATGATCTCGGTATAGGAGTACACAGTCACTGTCAGTCACACTGTTAACCATACAGATACGATGTACTCCGTACCCTCGACCATACTCCGTACACGATACCAGGAAAACTGGATAACCTGACACCTTTAGCCGTCAGAACGAGAACCTCCGTAAAACCAGGAGGGCCAGGGAAAATGGTGAACCATGGTTGAGGCTCTCCGGCCTCCGCTGCCCCAGCCGTAAAAAAAAGACCGCCATACCAGAAGAGGTCATATTGTCTCGGCGACGCTGACCTTTTTCGCGTTTCGGCGCAGTCGTTGGCTCTGGAATCTGGACGCTTCGTTTCTTATTTAGCTGTCGGCTGGATAATGATGGATACCAAGTTGCTGGCCTTGTAACTAGTTCTAGTTCTACGGAGTACGGAGTCTGGCAGTTGGGCAACGTGGATAATATCCCACTCGGCTGGAAGAAATTTTCTGTTTTCTCTTTGTAGTATGTATCCATCGCCATGCATGCGGGTTGATAAATGCCTCAATTGTTGAGGGAGCGTCGGTGAAGGGATTTCCATGCAGCTTTCTTGGGCTCGCGGATGAAGAGTTTCGAGATCTGGGATAGTCAGTCTGTTAGTTCTTTGCTTGCCTTGGCAGGATCCGACCTAGGCTCGGAACCAATTGTTGAAGACTTGCCGCTCCGAAAAGATTTGAGATCTAGGGCTGTGTAACCTGCTAGAGAAAGGGAGAGCGAGAAGAGAGACCAAACGTCATCTACAGATCTGATCCAATTGCTTGAGTTGCAATTTCATCATGAAATATCCGATCGCTTTCTTCAAAGATCCCAATCATTATGGTCTCTCTCGTCCACCACCGCGGAAAACGCACTATAAATTGGCTTTAGGAACCATCGCAGGCAACCCGAAGTGGATCCATTAACTGAAGCGTAGGGAGCTGTTACTTGAAAGGAAAAAATCACTCGGTCGGGAC